TTTGAAGGTGAATTAAATGTTTCAATCAACAAGAAGTCAGTTTGAATCAAAGTTAGAAAATAAAGTCAGCAACCAAGACTGACTTGGAGAGTGCACGTATGTATGAATAAGGATGAATAAGGCTATCGATGACAGAGAAACAAATCTTTTATATCTATGTATAATATATATAAAAAGTAAATATATTGGCCAGGCATGGTGGCTTATGACTGTAATCCTAGCCCTCTGGGAGGGTGGATTGCCTGAGCTCACAGATTCGAGACCCACCTGAGCAAGAGTGAGACCCCCATCTCTAAAAAAATAGCTGGTTGTTGTGGCAGGCGCCTGTAGTCCAGCTACTCAGGAGGTTGAGGCAAAAGAATCACTTGAGCCCAAGAGTTTGAGGTTGTTGTGAGCTATGATGCCATAGCATTCTACTGAGGGCAACAAAGTCAGACTGTCTCAAAAAATGAATGAATGAATAAAATATATCATTATTATTATGTTACTATTATTGACTTGCTTTCTCTTCTGTTTAGTTTTTGACACTTTGTTTTTGGGATATATCTAAACACTTGGCTTCTAAGACTTTAAACATAAGTTTGATCCTTGCCTGTTGGTTTTGTTGTGTGAATTTTTGAAAGTTCTTTAATCCTTAGAATTTCAGTTTCTTTGTCTATAAAATGGAGATCATAGTAATAGGTATTGAATATTCCCTTAGAAATATCCTCCAAGGATATTAATCTCTATAATAAGAGAATATCTGTAAGGTACTGTAACTATTAGTCTTTCTTCAACCCTTCTACCACTCTACTAAAAACAATAGCAATAATAATTTTTTTACAATTTGAGAACCTAGAATGTATGTATTTTCTCAACCTGTAATCTAGTCTTTATGTGTTAGTTTTTTTTTTTAATGAAATTATTTATCTAATTTTAACTTTGATTTTTATAGTGAGTCATTTATTTACATAAACTAACACTCTGATCTTTGTAGCTATTTAATTAGATGTTTCACTAATTAAATTACTGCTCTGTTCATTATCATAAACATCTGTCTGCTGTTGACACTTTCATAGCAGTTAAAAACTTTTGCTCTTAACAATTTCATCCTTCTAAAATTTTACCCCTTTTTTTGTTTTTTGGTTTTTTTTTTAGACAAAACCTCAAGCTGTCCCCCTCGGTAGATAGAGTGCTGTGGCATCACAGTTCACAGCAACCTCCAACTCCTGGGCTCAAGTGAGTCTCCTGCCTCAGCCTCCAAGTAGCTGTGCCTGCCACAACACCTGGCTATTTTTTGGTTGCGGCCATCATTGTTTGGCAGGCGCGGGCTGAATTCGAGCCTGCCACCTTAGGTGTATGTGGCTGGCGCCTTAGCCACTTGGCCACAGGCGCCGAGCCAATTTTCCCCTTTTTTAATATACTTGAGACTTAATGGTATGTTTGCTTAAATTAACTTTTCATATTATTTTGTTCTAATTATAACCACTTATTTTTATTCTAGCACTAGATAACTGTTTCTGCCATAATATCAACTTGTTCTTAAAACAACTGCTTTTATGAGTTAAAAAAAAGTTGTATGGCTCCGCGCCTGTGGCTCAAGTGGCTAAGGTGCCAACCACATATACCTGAGGTGGTGGGTTCGAATCCAGCCCGGGTTGCCAAACAACAGTGACGGCTGCAACCAAAAAATAACCAGGCGCTGTGGCGGGCACCTGTAGTCCCAGCTACTTGGGCGGCTGAGGCAGGAGGATCACTTGAGCCCAGAAGTTGGAGGTTGCTTTGAGCTGTGATGCCACAGCACTCTACCCAGGGTGACAGCTTGAGGCTCTGTCTAAAAAACAAAAAAAAGACTTGTATCCAAGCTGGGCATGGTGGCTCATGCCTGTAATCCTAGCATTCTGGGAGGCCAAGTTGGGGTGGATTGCTTGAGCTCAGGAGTTTGAGACCAGCCTGAGCAATAGTGAGACCCCCATCTCTAAAAATAGCCGGACATTGGATGGCGCCTGTGTCTCAAAAGGGTAGGGCACTGGCCTCATATGCCGGAGGTGGTGGGTTCAAACCCAGCCCCAGCCAAAAAAAAAAAAAAATAGCGAGGCCTTGTGGTTGTTGCCTATAGTCCCAACTACTTAGGAGGCTGAGGCAAGAGAATCACTTGAGCCCAAGAGTTTGAAGTTGCTGTGAGCTATGATGCCACAGGACTCTACCACAGGCCTCAAATTGAGACTCTGTCTCAAAAAAAAAAAAAGTTGCATCCATAATACAGTGAAGCATTCACTACTTCCATAAAACATGCAAGAAAACAATTTATAGTTTTATCTTTGTAATATTTCAGTGCCTTGAATCATAAACTTCCTCAGCTGAAAAGGACCTTTTAGATATGATGAAATTGTTTACCTTCATTTTAGGATGAGGAAAATCAGAGAGGGGACAGTGACTTGCCTGAGTCATATATTTACTGATAGAGCTAGAGCTAAAATCCTTGTTTCCTTATTCAAAAACAGGCCTCTTTCCATCATACCACTTTTGGAAGGGATTAACGTGGAATTTTGTTATTCTTTCCTCCGTTACTTCGTATCAATCCTAAAGGCCTAATTTGGAAAGCAATTAGTTTCAAGAATAACTTCAGTATTGCACAGAAGTATTGCTTATTGATCTATAGGGGAGTTGATATGTTTCCTAAACTTACTCTTTGTTGTTTAGAGTAGTAAATGAGAGCCGACAAGTACTCCAGGAGCCAGATTTTGCTCAGTCTCTTCTGAGGGATCCAAACACTCCTATCATAAGAAAGTCAAGAGGGACTTCCACTCAAGGAACATCCACACACGCTTCCTCCACTCAGCTGGCCATGGTGGATGATCAAAGAAGCAAAGCCGGGAGTGTTCACAGCAAAGTGAGCAGCTACCACGGCAGCCTCCACAGATCACGGGATGGCAGGTGAGTTTTATTAGGAGCTTATTTGTGTCATGAACTGAATTATGGTCATGTAACTTAAGACAGAAGAGTAACCAATTCTGAAATAGAAATTGAACATTATTAACCTTTGCACTTTACTAGGTAGAATTGTCCCAGATTTTTGTCAGACTTAAATGCTAGTCAGAGGAGTTAAAAGTTTAGATTTGATGCAGTAAGCAATATGGGAGTCATTGTAGAAGACTGAATGGGTAGACGACAGCATGAAAGTGGTTATTTTAATAAGATCAGTTTAATAAACAGATATGGAATACTACACTGGGCACTGTGCTAGGCTCTGGGAATACGAAGATGACTTAACTATGATCTTTGTTCCTAATATATGCTCACAATCTGTTTAGAAAGATAGTGTAGTTAATGTTGTGGCCTGGAATGATTATCCTCAGTTTCCTCATCTACAGAATGAAAATAGTCATTTTTAGTAATGAGGTAAAAATTGAATGAGATAGCATACCTAATTCCTTGGAACATTGCCTATCTTGGTAAATGCCTGATGTCAGCTTTTATAAGTGAACAATTAAAGTAAAACATAAGTACAATGGCATAGTCTAGGTGAGGTTGCTGTGAGCTACGATGATGCCCCGGCACTCTACCGGGGTGACAGAGTGAGAGTCTGTCTCAAACAAACCAAAAAAAAGAAAAGAAAAAAAGGAAGAAACCATCCAACTCATCATGAAAGTCAGAGAAGACTCTACACAAGTTGGCACTTATACATTGGATGGGATTCAGAGGAGGCAGTTGGGAATTAAAGAAACGGATCAGCGCATGCAGGCAGGCAGGAGTCTGGGTGTGGCCGGGCACAGCGTGTGTGTGTGTGTGTGTGTGTGTGTGTGTGTGTGTGTATGCACAATGATGAAAGGTTGTTGAGGAGTCTGGATTTTCCCTGACAGCAGTGAGAAACTATCGTCGGACTTTGAGCATTGGGGTGAGAAAATGATTTGCATTTTAGAAACATCACTTCTCAATAGCATAATAAAGAAGAAAATTATAAGACCAATTAGGAATTTTTTTTTTTTTT